GTCTTTCAACAACGCGTGTCGAACAACAACACTATTCTACATTATATTATTATCGTCAAACAAGTCGCGAGCAATAATTATAAATCGTTCGGCGAGCGTCTTCATTCGCGTTTGATGAAATAATATATTAATTGGAACGCTAAAAACGATTACAAACAACAATAATAATAGTAATAACATTTAATTCTTCTGTACACGAATAGTATTATAATTTATTTAATCGCGAAACAATAATAATTATTACAAGTGAACAGTATTGCGAATAAAAAAAAAAATGAGATTATAGTGTGACCGGAGGGGTATACGGGAAAAACATCCAAGTCTGCAAACAATCAATTAAAATTAATCAAGTAGCACTTCATTTTCTCGTTTCATTAACAGCCTTCGCTCTTTGAAAACGTATCGATCTCGCTGAACGCACAAAATGCATTATATCGGGAAAAAGTCCATTATTATTGGTAACACCCGAAAGTACTATAATATAGTGTACACACACACACACACACACACACATGTCACACATACACACTCACCGACACCGATAGGTACAATAATCGTGTCGGTTATTAATAAAAACCGACTGCATAATAAATAATTCATTACATGCAAATTGCTTTTCCGACGGGGTTTTACACCGCCGCGTTTACCAATCGGATTAACGATACTGCGTGGCGCGGCGCGGTTGATAATAATATCGTTCTCGTTTTCCGAAAGGGCCCAGGACAACTTACTGTGCAGTCGGAATATTGAGTTACCGGCCCAGGTGAGTGTGGTACGTATAGTGCATATTATGAAAGGATTTCCCGTGTCACTATATTATAATAGGTACCTATGTATTATTTACATTTTGTGGAAAGTATGCAAATGTACATAGGCCGACAGACGATAGAGTCGTATATACCTACGCCGCGGAATAGCGGCAATAAAATCCACGGGCAAAATATAGGTAGGTGGTTTTCAATCCAGATCCCTTCGAACGCAATAAACGTCTATTACACATTATACCTACCTATAGGTACATCGTATCAATATTATGTCTTTTTTAAACTCAGCGTGATAATATATCACATATTATTACATTTATACATGTACATTATACACGTGACTCGAAATATGTAAGTGTAAGATGTATATTTCGATCGAGATTTTAATATTCTTTCTTACAATAATCATGATATTATAATTTATACAAAATAATATTCGTCGCGTTCGTTTTTATTATTTTTTGTATAATTAATATAACAAACAACGATATTGTAATATTGTTGGAGAGCAGAAATCATTATTAAACGCGTTTACTTAAAAATTAATTAAAAAACTGTTTTTAAATTAAATATAAAAAAAAAATGTCAATGCGACAAAGTATTTGATTTAATTTGAATTTTTTCGGATTAACAGAACATAATGAATCTTTAAAATTTAAGAAAAACAGCATAAAAGAATAATGAAAGGAAATAACCGTTTCTGGTTTAGCAATATATATTATATTGTATTTTGTTTTTCAAAGAAATATTTTTTTTTTCACCATTATCATAAAATGCGGTGAAAGACATAAGCACCAAAACGAGATAAGAATAAAATAAATCGTATACTACAAAATTGTCAAAATCCCAGACACCTCTTCATACTAGATATTAAATTGGGAACTACACACATAATATATCGATCAAAAACGCCTAACGTACAAGTGTTCAACCATAATCGACAAATTTATTATCTGATAACAATAGACCCGAAGAGTATTTTTTGGGTTTATAATATTATTATGACATTATAGCATTATGATATCGTTAGAACTTAGCAAGCATTTGGGTAAGCTATAGGTAACTTACTTCTTAGTCGTAGTGACAATGAAATTTTCAAAAATCATTATGAATAAAGGAGTATTATGTATTTTGTTATTAAACAAACAGATTTCTATGTTTAAATATTTGTATAGATTATTGATGATTTTAAATATAATATAAAATATTGATTATTTTTTTATTTCTTTGGCGCTTATGTCATATACCCTTAAAAGGGAAATCCGTTAAAACATTATACAGTATACACGTTTCTCTTGATGGGTTTAGCCATTATTAGTTTGAGAATCCGTTCGATTATATTATACAAATACTTACTGAAATGCAAATGAAATGCACGTACTACCTATAGCAGTACATAATTACTATAGGCACCTGCAGGGGCTGTAGGAAGTGGGTACCGGAATAATACAATATTAATAGCAAACGCATTTTAATAATATATAGTTCAAAACTTACTATAATTGTACTTTGTAGGTACCTACACTTATACACAATATAATCCGAAATCATTAACGAAACGATTTTGTGAGTCACCCTCCATTGCACACAGATATGTTATTATTTATATATACCTACTTGTGAGTAGTTGAGACTATATACTCAGCCCACGCCACAAGTTATTCGAAAAACGACATTAATAACCAATATGTACCACGGTATAGAAATTGCAAACGACTTGTTTGCGACGGGTTAGGGGGAGGGGGAGGAAGCGCGTGCATGTGTGTACCTGTACTCGTATAGGGGTTCGTGGAAAGTTTTTATTGTTTGCGGAACAATCGATATGACTGTGCATTGGTCTTCTTTTTCTTTTTCTTTCTCTCACCCACGCGCCCTCGCCACAACCCCACCTCAAACCCAAACTCACTATACGTGTGGGTACATTTTTTTCACCATAATTTCAAAAGCGTGCGCTCTATAATACACGTCAATCCGATATACTCTAGCACAAAAAAAAATAAAATATAAAACTCAAGACGACATCCATTAGGCTAATTTGCCGTGACCGCGGCCCCCACCAACTACTATATAATACATAATATGTAATATTATTATATACTATATACGGTCTACCCTCTATACGCAGGAAAACTATCGAACCCGCTACTCGCCGTATATATATAATTATATCGACTGCGGCATTGTACGCGAATGTTTTATATTATATATAATAATACTAATATGTAGTCCTCGACATACCATCGGCTCGATGTTCTTGGCCGCCGTCGAACCTGCACGTGTGATAAGCGTAAAAACTACCCTTATAATTGCACGGGAGTCGTGCAAGTCGTTACCTATTAAAATATGGGAGTTATAATGTAATCAGAATTATTAATAACTATGAATACCCTTAGTTGTTGACCGAAACATAATCGAATCAGTGTCCACACAAGTAGGTACCTACCTACTCTGAAGAGCTGTTTTATAGCGGTATATAGCGGAAACGAGAAAAATAATACTTATAAATTCAGTTTAAAATGTTTTATTTTAAACAGGTACCTACACTTTTATTTTTTAAAATATTGAAAAATTATATTGAACAAAATGATGCGTTGTTTATTTGTATTTATAGTTTTTTTGATCATTATTGTATACAACTATAGGTATTAGGTACTATATAAATTATATACGACGAACATAAATTAAATACAATATTTATAAGGTATTTAATGTTGATATAAAATCCTATTCACGTTATTCATCCACTTTCGCGAAACAAAACGGATTAAAATTTATTGTACAACGAAGTGTTTAAAGTGGGTTATTTGTCGGGACTTATTTTTTTTCATATTAAAATCATATTTAGTCGTTACGCGTTTGAAAACTATTTCTGAAGGGGTTGCTTAATATTCAACGCTCGTTACACGAATATTTCAGCACAAAAGTAATTAATCAGACATCAATTAATAAATAAAAATAATTTTTTAACATTTTAACGACTTTAAATTTTAACATAATATATTATTATAATAATATTATATTATAACTTAGCGGGTACACGTAATTGTCGTGAACAAAACGTGTTTTTTTAATCCCGAGACAATTTCACCAAAAGAAATCTCTCGAAGACGTTCATTATTCACGACTTAAAACAACTATTATACTAAACATTTTTATGCTTAGCTCTTTTGTCTCGCCGTTTTTTCCGCCCACGCTTATTATTATTTGTTCGGCGTCGCGTTCTTTATTATTCGTTTGTATTCTCGCGAAGGAGTTCACAATGGGTTTACTCTCGGCGTAATGAACACGGACGGCGGAAGATTCCTTTTAAGTCTAATTATACGAATTTTCGTCGAACGTTTATATAGATTTGTTCGCATATCGGATGTTGTTTTATTTTCTAGCGTCTGTAAAATGAATTTTTATTTCTACACGGGCCGGACGGAGTGCTTACGATTTTTGAGCCCCTTAGCAATTCTATTTTGGCTGCTCCCTTCGCGTAACATCGCCAAATCGGCAAAAACTATATAGTACCACTTGACGCATATAGTTATCTTGATATTATAAACCATGAAATACTATAATATATATTATGGTACTCAAGACCGTGGTGTGGTAGCCTTTGGGGAACGGTTTCAAGCTTCTAATACGATCGAGTAAATATTCGTGAGAAAGTGAATCTTCAAGTACCTACACCGTCACCGTATATTCCGTGGTATAATCCGTGCGGTTAACCCGTTACCATGCGGTCTACCGACTATAGATTAAAATATTCAACTACTCCACCATGTGGCCCGGTGGTTATTAATATTGTGGTTACGTATTAATAATGACTATACCTAGTGAAATCGTTTTAATTTAATAATATTAAACTCTGTCGAGTTCAACTTTTTTTTTTGAGAATTAAAATGGAACAATGTTAACCAACTTTATTTTTGTCAAAAACTAAGGTCTTTTGAGCTAAAATTTACGGCAGTATAGCAAGGCACCCTAATAGCATATCAACTTAAGTACACAAAAGCGCACACTATCGGTTAACCCCCACGCAACAGTGCGACACCCACCTTCCCAAAGTGCTCCTAATAAACTTGGAATAAAATATAATTGAACAAAATTATATGTTCTACGCGATGTATAGGTACCCGCGGTTAGTGGTAATTAAATACGATATTAATTGGTCACTCTCCTTCGACGGTATAATAATAATAATAATAATAATAATAATATTATAAACCGTTTGTCTCTTTCTGCTTGCAGAGTATGCGGGAACCGTTAAAAGCGAGTACCCGACGGCCGCCGACGCGCAGGTCCCGCAGTCGGTGGTCGCCGCCATGCCGTCGGCACGCGAACACCATCATCAACAACAGCCACCACCGCCGCCGACGCCGGCCACCGCCACACCGGTGCTCACCGTACTCCAGTACCAGCGGCCACGTACGTACACCAGTACTGGAGTGGCCCTGTCGTTACCGCCCAAAAAGAAGGATATTTACCGGCCCTATTCGCTGGACGACCACAAGCCGATAAAGTGGCCGCGGCCCGAGGAGGACATTAGCGCCGCGCAGGCCATACTCGACCTGAGCGCATCGACGCCAGTGGTCGTTTGCCGGCCACCACCGCCGCCTCAACAACTGCAACCACCACCGCCGCCACCACCGCAAGACACTCAACAACTTCTGCCACCGCCGCCGCCAAATGCTTCTCTGCAACAACTGACACCGCCGCAACAACAACAACAACAGCAGCAGCAGCAGCAAATAGTGCACGTCATACCGGTGGCTGTCAAACAGCAACCGGCCGAACAACTGCAGCAATTACAGCGCCCACCGCCGCCGGCCATCCCATTGCCGGTGCCGACCGCCGCGGCCACCAGCAAAACGGTCGCGTACACGTACGAGGCATTTTTCGTCAGCGACGGCCGATCGAAACGCAAATCTTCGGCGGCCGCTGCAGCCGCCGCGTCGGCGTCATCTTCATCAGCCTCAGCGAACTCGTCGGCGTCTGGCGATGAGTGCGTTGTCGGTGACAAGTCGTCCGGCGGCGCAGCGGCCGCGATCGGCGCTGACTTTAGCGCCACTTCGCCCGGCCGACCGTCCAAGTACACATGCTCCGAGTGTGGAAAACGGTACGCCACGTCGTCGAACTTGTCTCGGCACAAGCAGACACACCGGAGCCTCGACTCGCAGTCAGCCAAGCGGTGCAACGTGTGCGGTAAACCGTACGTCAGCATGCCCGCGCTCGCGATGCACCAGCTGACACACAAGCTAACGCACGCGTGCGATGTGTGCGGAAAAATGTTCAGCCGGCCGTGGCTTCTGCAGGGCCACCTCCGGTCGCACACGGGCGAGAAACCGTACGGATGCGCGCACTGCGGCAAGGCTTTTGCCGACCGCTCGAACCTGCGCGCGCACATGCAGACCCATTCCGGCGACAAAAACTTTGCTTGCCCGCGGTGCTTCAAGTCGTTTGCTCTAAAGTCATACCTGAACAAGCACCTGGAGTCGGCCTGCCTACCCGTCGCCACCACAGCAGCCGCACCCGCGTCTCCCTCGTCACTTACGTCGTCGTCGGTGTCGTCGTCATCGTCGTCCTCGTCTTCGTCTTCGTCTTCATCGTCGTCGTCATCGTCGTCGGCCACCGCCGCCGCACAGTCACCATTGCACCAACAACATCACCCACCTGCACACTTGCATCATCTCCAACAGCAGCAACACCATCACCATCAAACGACTGCCGCCGAAATCACCAATCTCAACTTGTTGCGTCCAACGGTACTGCACACTGCCTAAACCGGCGCGCATGCGTGTCGGGAAATCCTGGTCATTATTGTGATTTTTTTTTTTACCATATTATTATTTCATAACATTATAATATTATCATATTCTGGTCGTAAGTTATAGTCAATTTTTTCGGAAATCTTTAAACTCTAGTTCATTTTATTATTATTAAACGGTTATGGGTGGGTATATTATTTTTATAGTATTACATTATTTTCACATTATACAGACACTAGTCACGAGTTTCTAGTCAATTTCTATTCCGCAAACAATATTTATATGTTTATATAAATACCTATATATATTTTTTTTTTATCGCTACAAATTTCAACACATAAATATTCTATCGGTTTAAGTTTTTCTTTTCTTTTCTTTATTCATTCGCGAAAAGGGGCGTGCAATAGCGTGTTTTGTTTTGTTTCGGCGTTACAAAGTCAATTTTTATTTGAATATATTATTATTATTATTATTATTAATACTATTTTATTTTTAATCATATCATGTTTTTCTTTTCATCAAGCGGACATTATATTTGCATGAAATCTCACATTATTATTATAGCCTCTAAATAGTCTTGAAGTTAAATACAAATGTGCGGTTGGTTCCTAACCTTGCCCAACCCTGTGTATAGTATATAGTAATATTTGCCAGTGGTTGATTAATGCGTATATATATATATATTATTATTATTTATAAGCAATGTGTATTATTTAAACACTTTGAAGCGTGCGGTTTTGTTCTTTTTATACATATATATTATATTGTATTATAATTTTAATTCTTTTTAATTTTAATTGGATGTATACACGCGTATATGTCAGAGTGTGTGGTCTAGTCATTTAGATTAGGTAGAGCTACCACGGAAGTGGTTTGAACTATAATAAAATATATAAGAGAATGCGATCTCAAAAAAAAAAAAAAATTAAAAATTAAAAAATATTGAATGTTAAAAAAAAACGTAATTAATTATGTTATAATATATTAATTATTAATAATGTATGTTATACTATATTAATTATTAATAATGTATCTTGTAAATAAAACTTAATAGGCACTAAGTTGTTTTTCGTATAGTTTAATAAATTATTAATACAAGACTAAAATGATATTATGTGGTAATCATGTGGTCACTGGTCATAATCACGATATGATATAGTCGATGTTGGGAAAACTCCTAGTAAATATTGCATTTACCCGTGTTTTTGTTCGAATCCCAATATTTGAGATTAGATGGAAGAGATTAGAGTACAAAAACTGAGACACCAAAAATTGTTTTTTCTAGACTAAAATATTAATTATGTTACATAATATAGAATTAAGAAAATGTTAATATAGTGAAAAAGCAATAACGTAACCAACTCGTCTGCTCAATAATGTAATAAAATTAGGAACAAAAAGAAAAATGTAAAAACAAAAAAATTAATAAATAAAAAATAATATTAAAAATAATTATTATTAAAATATTATATTTCTTTTGGAATTTCAAATATTATTATATATTACAAATATTTATATTAGACGTACGTTTTCTCTACACGTTAATAAACACTTTGATAATATACTTTATTTCGTTTTTGTTTTCTTCTCTTTCTATATTGTCTCGGTGTATATATATGTATATGTTATATATATATATATATATTATGTAAACCTTTGTAAACTTTATATTTTTCGTCCAAAACCCTTGGACTCTCGTGTAATGTTAAGATGTTCAACGATGATATACTTTTAAGGAAACTCATACATTTAAGTACGTATTCGAAAAGCAATAAAATTGTAGAGGGAGAAACGGGAGCGTGAACGATAACGCCTTCCGGGAGCCTCTTGTAGAGCGTAGAGCAATAATTTTGTGAAACCTATAGCAATATATTATATCATAATATATTATTGTGTATTGTGCATTTGTATTCATTCATTTATTTATATTATTTTTTTTCATTTTCATTTTCATTTTGATTCTTATTTAGAGCTGGGCGGCGGTAGTAGGATGCTAATTATACTATAATAGTATTATTACGGCTCGGAAGTGTATATTATTAGGACGACCGGGAGCCGCGTCCTCCGTTTTGTTTATATTTGAATTTTTTAAATTTATCGAAGTAATTTTTTTTGTACATTTGTTTTTTATTATTATTATTATTATTATTATTATAACGAGTATATATTATATTGTACACCTATATATTATATTTATATAATATACGCGCGGCGGTGGTAGCGATCATAATATTATTATTGTTATAACACTGTTGCAGCGCATTATAGTATTGGTATATAATATTATTATATTATACAGCCGCGGCGCGTATAATAATAATAATGATGATATTTTTGGACGCCGTTTTTTCAATGATCATAAATAAATATTGTTTAAAAAACACATAGTGGCCTTGACGAATTCGTTTTTACGACGACAACGTACCCGAAAATATATTATAATATATATTATAGAGAGAGAGATAGAGAAAGAGTATCATATATTTTGGACGATTAATGGGAGACCTGAAAAGGCGTATATCCCAATACCCGTTGAGGGTAAATTGTATTAAACACGTATACTTAAATTAATATTCAATGGAATCATCACGGTCCACTCACAATATCGAAATAATTTAATAATATAATATTATGTAACGTGTTTTTACGATATTGCATAGGTACCTTCCGTACGTCTATGCAAACAACGTTTTCCCAGTGACAACTTATTATTATAATAATATACAAACAAAATATATTGTTATTTTATTATAATTGTACTCGGAATTCGTGGTCTTAAGATATAATAACATGACGTGATTGAAAATATTGTAAGATCACTAAGTCCAACCGCGTACGATTGTGTAGTAAATCGGCAGAGCAAAAGTATTGATATGATATTATAGTCGTTAATAAGTCGTTTATTTTTATGTTTTTTTTTTCAAATGAGTAGTCCAACTTAGAATGTACAAAAATATAAATTAAAAGTCGTTTGAAAATTGTTATAAACTCACAATTGAATATATTAAGCTTAAAAAAAAAAAAAAAACCATTAGCTGAATATAATGTTATATAATATTATATTACATACAAGATCGAAACGCAGTAGTTTGCTCAATAATCATTATTATTATTATTATTATTATTATTACGTACGTGTAGAGTTTGTATAACGAAAATATTTTAAACAGATATATTATATTATGATTGTCAGTGTCGTATTTGTTTGGGGAAAATTATAAATTATTATTGTCATAGATTTAACGATGAAATTACAATTTATTTATTTATTTATTTATTTATTTGTTTAGTGATTATATTATTATTATATTATATTAAAACTAGTGGCAGCGAACATTTTTCGCATACCTATATTTTATTTCGTAGTGTTACGTTCTCAACAATATATAATATTATTATTATTATTGTATATTTTCATAAATAAAATTATTAAATAGTTGAAAAAAATAAAGTCTGTGTTCAATCATTTTCCGTCGTAGTCATAGATAATAAAGATATGGATAGGACATAATGGTCTTATCAGCGGTCTTCCAGGGGAATAATTGAGGCCAAATAAAGTATATCTATATGGAGTATCGACTGTCAACAAAAAATGTAAGCAAATCGCCTCAATTTCTTATCTATGTTGGACCGCAAAACTAATACGTAATGAATTTGAGGCGTCCTATCCATGTATTTATTATCTATGGTCGTAGTGCCCTGTACCTATAGATTACTTACCTAATATGAGATTATCATCATACGGCGCAGGTGCCTATTTTTACAGGGTTTTTTAATTATTTAAATACTGACGCGCTCGACCACAACAGCTGCTATCATGTGCTGATAATACAGCAAACGAGACTGGGCGTATCACAATCTATTTATATGTACCGCGATTGTTCGCCAACATAGACCACAGTCTTATACCCATGACCATGGTTGACCACGGTATGAGTACAAACGGATCGCGGTTCTCGCGTACGAAAGCCACCGCCGAGCACCGATCTACAACATCAGCAATACAGAATACTACTATCACACTGTCATTGGTACGGCCGTCGGGCCGTGACATAATAACAATAACAATATTATTGTAATGAAATGTTTTCCCGCGTTTCAACAAGTTTTTCTACGCCCAGCGATCGGGTATATAACTTCTACATAGTACATGGTAAATACCTACCCATAATATGGCTATATATACTTATACAAATATATAACCATGAACGGTTACTGGTGCGTTATAAAAATCGTATTTTACTACCTATGATATAATATTATTTAGATCGCACGTTATTGCGTATTATAAATCACACCGAAAAGAGTACGAAATGTTGGAATAGTTGGGCGGCAGGCAGGTCACACCCGCGCGTTGTACAGCAGCAATAGGTAGGTCGTATAAGAAAGTATTATATTATTATATAAAGTGTGTGTATCGTTTAAGCTCCACAATCATAATACTAATAATAATAGAATTTGATCGTACTAACGCGACGTTAGAAGACTTATACATATAATAATATTATCATACACCTCCGTCGTATTGTATAGATATATTATTATGTTTATGTATATTATGCGCACTGTACAATGTATATTATACTGTTCGCGTGCATTTTCCGGGGCGGAAACCTGCAACTGCCGCAATAGGGAAGAAAAAAATAAAACTTGTGGAGTCAGCTTTATGTATTATATATACGGAACGATATATACGACGTCTGCGGGGGGGATGCGAGGTGAGCCACGCGGGTCGGCGGTTATTTGCGTTGATGGCGGACCAAGGGGAAAGGGTAGTTTTCACCCCCCCCCCTCCCCCAGAACAGACTATATATACGTATGTATGTACGTATAATATACGTGCCTTGACGCATATACACAAATATATATATATATATAGAGAGCTGCTTTAGCCTTTAGACGGTATATCCGATATAAACCTCTCGAAACTATGTATATATGCGTATACGCGAGAGTCGTCTGCCCCGCATGCACCGCACCGCACTACTCCAAGTGGTTTGCAGCGCAGACCTCTT